GCTGTATATAATATATATATATATATATATATATATATATATATATATATATATGTTATGAATGGTTGTTGAAAAAAATTCATTAAAATTTTCTACAAAACTATTATTTGGAGGATAGTTTTTTTTTTCAGTAATGTTCATCATTTGAACTATTACATGTATTGATCATATGTGTATATAACATAGGAATTAGAATTTTATATAGTCACGCTTGTGAGCTAAAATATATACTTTCACACTGCTCTGATATCCGCTACCGGTCAATATGCTTCATCCTATATTATATATGAAGAATTATCGAGTGGAAAATCGCCGGAAATTCTGGAAAAAAAAAATTTCAATAGAAACATTCTCACGTAAATTATTTTAGATGAGGTTGTCATTACAGGAAAAATTGTTATTTTTATTATATTGATCTAGCAACCTTGCCGTCACTATGTGAACTATAAATAAATAAAATTTTGCTTTATTAAATTAATGACTATTGTTAAATTGCACTGTACTTTCTTAAATATTGATATTTTTAAAGATATAAGCTCATCTTGATATTAGACTTATCAAGAGCTTTCATTTGAGTACCCACATGCATTTTTGACATATTTTTCATATATTTATATAATATAATATATATAAATATATGAAAAATTGATGTGGGTATTCAAATGAAAGGTCTTGATGAGTGTAACATCGGGATGAGCTTATATCTTAAAAAATGTCGATAGTACACGAGATACAAGGTAATTTCTTAATTATGTATCGATAGATCGAGCATTTTCGAATAAAGCCTAAATACTTATCGTCAGAAATTGAGTATTGATGAGAATGATATGAAAGCTTGAAAAGGCACAACTTTTCCAACGATACTAAATTATCCATAAAAATCGATTTTATCTTATAAATACACTGGCCACAAAATTTGGCTTATTGTCTTAATAATATAGATTATGATAAGTGATAAAAGAAAAAATTTCAATATTAAGGTAGTTACTATTTCTTTAATTTTAAAATTCAGTTCCTCCAAAACTGTATTGTTTAAAAATTTCATATTACGCTAATTGATGCAGATTTATTTGAAGATTAATCGGTCAAAATTTTTAAAAAATCCTACGAAAAGCCACTTAGCGGAGGTATTACTTCGAGTTACATTGCTTTCAAAATTTTAATTATAAAAATTAAACTATAAATTATAAAATAATTTGATAATCATTAAATTGAATTATTAATTCATTTAATAGTTAATTATCAAGAAATTCTAAAATGTTTTTGATTAAAAATTCCCTTTTCTCGCCCTTTCAATGAAACTAATGACTCAAAAGTTTCGAAATAAATTTGTTATTCACTTAAAAGTTAAAAAATAAACTCTAATCTCTAATGACGCATTTAGTTAAAAATCAATCAATGGTTGCGCAATAAACAGCAACTCAGATTTGTATTCCATTTAAATAATCACATTAACAGCATTTTATCTCTAAAAAGAGTTTTATAGGTTTAACATCAACACTCGAAGGTGTTGATGAAATTTTTATTTTGACGGACATCTCATGAATACATATAATAGATTTTCATCTTTTTCAGTCCTTCATTCGCATCAGCTATAATTTTTATCAAGACTATAAAATACACACATAATTACTGGTTTATCTTAAACTTTGCTTTTATTTGATAATAAATAATTATTCTTGCTAATAATAAATTATAACGATAAAATTTGTGATTATTAAATGAATAATAATTAGCGTAATTCATTTTTTAATCTCAAAATTATCAATCCGATTAATTAAATCACTCATTAAGTATTTAAAAAAGCAAATAAATTTAAAAAGTAACTAATAAAAATAAAACTTATAATTTTTTTTAATATTTTGGAGTTGTAAATTGTAACTTATAATTGATAGAATTAATTTACTGACTAGAGAAATTATAAATGAAGGTACTTTAAGGTTATTGCTGTAAGATAATAGAAAAAGTACATAAAATTACGTTTAAATTGTTGGGATCCGACAAAAACAAATTGTTAGTTTTAAACGCGTTAAGTAAGCGTTTTAATTTTTTACGATAATTTTTCTAATTGTTTTTAAGTAGATAAAATTATAATAAATACCTTGTTATGACAAAATTTCTTAAAATTACACGGATTAATTATTACAATTTAATTAATTTTATTAATTATGGTAATAATGTTGATGAAATTTGGGTATTTAATAGAGATTTGAAATACTTTTAGTGTTATTTCCTTGAAATTATAATTTTTGATTTCCTCAATAAAAAATTTTGAGTAATATTTTTTATACTTAATAAAATTATTATGATTTTTAATAAATAATTAAGGAGAAAATTTATAAAATAAAACAGCAAATTTAAAATATTTTACGGTCTGTTTATTTTTTGATATTAATTTAACATAAAAGAAAAAATTTACTGCTAAATAAATGTTATTATTGTTGACTTATTATTGTTTGTTATTAAGGCATGATTATAAGTTAGTTACGTGGAAGTAATAAAATATTTGATTATATCATAATTCCTACAGTCAATCAAGAGCTTTCATTTGAGTACCCACATGCATTTTTGACATATTTTTCATATATTTATATAATATAATATATATAAATATATGAAAAATTGATGTGGGTATTCAAATGAAAGGTCTTGATGAGTGTAACATCGGGATGAGCT